CCTCGGAAACCCAAGGAGGGATCGCTATGAGTTGGGTTTGACTCGACGGCACATAACAACAATAACAAATCTTTACCAAAGCCAACTGCCACATCTTTCTCCCACAGAGCAGCTGCTGGATTTGAACTGCTGACCTTTTGTCTTGCAGCTAAGCACTTAATCACTGCACCACCAGGGATCCTTCCACACCTATCAGACACTGTTTAGCCTCCAGCCCAGCAGTGAGCAGGGACCATTATTGCTTCCACTCCACAGAGGAAGAAGCAACCCAGAGAGGAGAACAGATTTGCCCACAGACCCCAGCAGTAGGGCGTAAATGGTGATGCTGGCTTTTGAGCCTGATATTCTAATGGTGTCGTGCCCTTACCCTAACTGAGCCCAAAGGGTACACAGTGGCCAGAAGGAGGGGGTGCCACCAGCTCTGCCATCACTCTGGGTACCTTTGGGCATGTCCCCCACCCTCCCAGAGCCTAAGGGCTGAAGAATGAGACAACAACCCTTATCTTATTGACATTAATGGACAGGTCTGGGCTCCCCTGCCCTCAAGGCAGGCTGAGTGGCAGATGCCAGCAAAACGGGGCTGTGTGTGGAAAGTCTTTAGGGAAGAATTTGATTACTTCAACAGCACTGAAGTAGCAGCATGGGAAAAGTCAGGATTTGGCTGGAATTCTTTAGCTATGTGTTAGAGTTCAGTCTTGACTGTCCTTTTAGTCATGTGGGGGGGTGCCACTAAAGATCTTGTCAGCACTTAGAGCCTCTGAGGGTCTTAACTTGGCCATGGGCGAGGTGGGGGGGCTTCCAGTATCTGACAAAGAGTTGGTGCTTAATAAGTGGTGGCTATCGTGCTGTTTAATATGAGCAAGCACCCAGTGTACCCCTACCCCCCAATTCTGGACCCCTCAGAATCCCAGCGCCACAAAAGGAGGTGATTTTCCCTGGAAACCCAGATCAGAGCCTGGTCACTGCACTGCCCCCAGTCCTCAAAGCTGCTGGCCTGAAATTCCCCGCCCGCACCCAATGCCAAACCCACTCCACCTGCTGCAGCCCAGCTGTAACAAACAAACCCTGTGCCTCCTCCTTGGGATTCCAAGGAACAGTCACAAGTTTGCTGCAGGCTCAGGTGTCTGCCTTAAAGGGACAGCCCACAGTTTGTGGGCAAGCAGACCCCGCTGGGTTTGAGGAGGGACTACAGGGCAAGCTGGGACCCTGAGCAGAGAGAATGTGGGCGAGGAAGGAGTCGGAGGCCTACGTGGAGTGGGGCAGAGGTGGGAGAGGCAGCCCCAGGGGTGCAGGGAGCCTCCGCAGGCCCCCCTCGTGCCCAGCTCGGCCTTTGCCAACTGTGTCTAATTCACCGAGAGGCCCGCGGGCACAGCTCACTTCCCCCACCCTGCTCCGCCCTCTTTCGCACTGATGGCCCCCAATCTAACAATCCCCAAACACTTTTCTTCCTTTCTCTTTTCTTTCTTTCAATTTTTATTGTGATTTGGGTAAAAGTTTACAGAGCAAATTCATTCTCCATACAGCAGTTCATACACATTTTGTTTCATGACATTGACTGCGATTTCCAGCAATGCAACCGCCCCCCTCCCACTTCTTCCCTGCAGTTACCTCTTGCCTGTGTCCTTCCCTCCCATGCATTCCTCCCCCCAGCTGTCTCCCTGTGCAAACACCGTCCTCCTGTTCTCCCATGATTGATTGACTGATTGATTGATCGATCGCTCCAAGAAGTGTATCTGTGTTTACCTGATGTGAATGTTCACCC